CTTTTTTAAAAACCTTAACAATCGAATACGAGTGTAGAAGGCGAGAACGTTGTGAACATAATATATATTTCAAACCATCTTCTATAGATAAGTACTCAACTACATGGGTAGTTGAACTGGACGTCGCACGCATTTTGTCGGATGAAAGGAGGGAATACTTTTATGGCATGGTCGCAATAAAACTTTTAACAAATCTTCTCATTTGGATATGTGACATATTTCACTTCGTTTTAAGCTAATTACTATGAATTTGCAATGCAAATTTGCAAAAACAGCTTTCGTTCAAATTTCGGCATGATACCATTTCGCGAAAGAATGTTTAAGATAAAGGAGAGTTAGCCTTGATTGTTGTTATAGAATCAATGGTTATATCACAATTCCAATTTAATTTATAAATCTGAACAGGATAATTTTGATAATATTCTCTATCTCTTAATTTAATAACTAATTTCACAAGATTTGCCGAAATTCAGTACAGCAGAAAAAAATTAAAAGACAAAAAATAAATTGTCAGATATTTACTCACCTGTAAATAGGTCATTTTCATTTGTGCGGCGAGTTTTTCCTTGTCTTCGCGACACGGATAAAGATTTCCACCGTTGGCCATTAACCACTCAAACTACACCATTACGCCGAAACAGCTACTCAACTTTCAGGGAATCCACAAATTACCTTGTCCAGCATTGCAGACTGCTGTCGAATTCGGGCTTTCTCGCTGGCTACGGCTGAAGCAACAGTAATCTCCCCGATCGACAACTCTAATCCGGGTGATTGCGAATGGAGCATATTATCCATGTTCTCGTTTTCGTGAGAGCTTAGTGGCGATACGGAAATCTTGAAAAGTTGGTAATTCGATCCTTCACGGCTGTTGAGCGCAAAGTAAGTAAGTGGCTTGTTGAAAGCACAATGGAAAGGCAGGAAAAGGAGAACTACGCTACCTGATTCATAATCTCAAAGTTAATCCCAAGCGGATCACAGGGAACTGTTGGAGGAGTTGGAGAACAAGTGGATACCATGAATATAGTATGATTTCAGGGGTTTAAGTCTGAGGAGTGGGCCTGAAATATTTCAGAAAAATTAGCGGCTTTGAAAGAGACAGCTGACTGGCGAGCGCATTCGAGCGTAGACATTATCCCATGGTAACTTTGAAAGTTCTGCATAGGAAGTCAATATATTGAATCAATAAGATGCCTAAATCCAATCTACAAAACGAAATCTACAAGGGCTTAAAGACTCTATACAGAGAGGTGGAGTATGTTTTTAGCATCATACCACACTTATCCAAAATAAAACAAGGAACACTTCGTAATAGCGTTGAATACATGGAGGTACAGATCACATGGAACTGATGCATCGAAATCAAATGTAAACATTGCAAGAATAATCTAGTCATCACCAAAGCAAACGAATAGTTGAGCGATGAAATTCGATCGAATTCAGACACTCACCACATATGACATGGCCATAAGATCAGATTGTGAATACAAAGAACCGGTTTA